AGGACCATAATTCCGTCTGCAACAAGCAGGTCTCCGCATTCGGTGACACCTGAGCTACTGGGTTTGGGTCTGAAGCACACGAGCTTCCAAGGGGACAAAACTGAACCCACAACACTCCATGACTGAGCCTTGTCCGTTCCCTTCTGTGCGAGTTTCCCCTGAGCCGTCGTGAAGTGAAGGGCCCCTCGTGGCCACACGGGCTCGGCCTCCGGGGCGTGGCAGATACTCAGGCTTGTCCGGAGCATGTTGGTTCAGGATGTGTCCCCAGTCGGCACAGGCCTTGAGGGGTCTGTCCTCGCATGGAGGGCAGCCACAATGGGGGGAGAATGGGGACTTTCAGTGGCTACAGAGAAGCAGAGTCCGAAGAACCCGGGGGTGGACGACTTACTAGCTGAGCAGGTTGCTCGTCCCTCATGGGTCTGCATTTCCTCCTGTGGACGTGTGGAAGGTGTTTGGGGCCGTGCCTGGGAGTGTGCCCACCTGCCGCCTGCTCTTGGGGCTGCCGCAAGGAGCCCAGACGCGGCGGGTGCGGGTGGGCGGCAGATGGGGCCCAGGCGCCTCGCAGAGTGGCCCCCACCAGCCTTTCAGGCCTTCACCCTTGGCCACCCGGCTCCTGACTTCCCCGGTGCTCCCACAAGGGTCGGCAGGAAAATGCAGGTGGGAGAGTGCCCGCCATGGGCTGGGGCCTGTGGGGCCCGCAGAGCCTCATGCCCTTGGCAGCCGTGAAAGCCATCACAGCCATTCTGGAAAGTGCCGGGCGGACACTCCCTTTCACACCCGTTATTTACCCCAGAGAGATGGGAGCAGGTGCACAGGAGGCTGTGAGGGAACGGCCGCACCAGCTCCGCACGCAGCAACGCTGTTCGTTCTGTGGGTGAGGAAGAGCCTCAGCGGGTGGCAGCACAAACACCTGCTCGTGAATCCATAAAATGTGTGAAGAGGAGCAGACTGCTCAGTGTCCAGCCAGATGCAAGGGGTTAACTGAATGCCTATTTACGTGAAGTTCAGCTCCCCCGTGTTGGCGGGAACCCTGACCCTGGCCGCCTGCGGTGGGGCAGTGGCGGGTTCCGCCGGGAAGGGGCAGGAGGCCACTCTCAAGGCGACAGAAATACTCCCCGTCTTGACCGAGGAGGCGCTCACACTGCTGCAGACGTTTGTGCAAACGCATCGACGTGTCCACGTGGGATCCATGTTTGTTAGAAAGAGAACAGCCCATGGGTTTCCGTCTCAGAAAATGGGCTGGTTTTGCCCCAGAGCCCAGGGGCGGGTGTCCAGCCTCACGGAGCCACGGAAAGCCGGTGGCCTGTGTGCTCCCCGGGCTCCGCCCGGCCTCGACACACAGTTATTTTGTGAAGAACCACACTCCTTGCTTCTTTTAATTTGGAGGTGGGGGGCGATCCACAACAAAACCCCAAACCTGGTGCTCCAGGCAGTTCAACCACACCCAGCTGACTCGGGTGCCACGCGCACAGTGCTCTCTGCAGCCGCGTCCTCGGACAACGCTCATCTCGTGGCTGTGCCTGCGCCGGCCAGTGGCCCCACACCCGCCTCCTTCCCTTTGTTTGACTCCTGTGCCCGAAGGTCTTCCTCCAGGCCCTCTCCCAAAAGGTCCTCTTGTTTTCAATGGCCCGGCACACAGAACCCCGGTGACTTATTTTTGCAAATCTCTCCAGGCTTGGCACGACCTGCAGACCTGGACGATGCTGGCCGTATAACACAGCAGCAGCAGGGAGAGAGCCGGGAGCAAGGACGGCCAAGGTCATCGGAAAAACCACGAACGCAGCCTCAAGCGTTAGGTCCTCAGGGCTGCTCGAGTGGCAAGCCCAGGTCAGGGCAGCGGGAAAACTCCAACGAAACACCTGCTTCCTGCAGGGGCCGGATGAGACACGATGTCACTGAGTTTTGTCGTGTCTCAGGGAGGCGACCTTCCTGGGGAGGCGAGGTGCCTGCCCTCGGAAAAGAAACACGATTTCCAGCCCAAAGTCAGGAATAAAGCCGCCTTGTCCTGGTGGCCTGGACCACGGTGCCTGAGCGGGGCCTGCAAATTCCTTGCAAGCTCTGCCCGTAGCACTCACGTCTCCAGCTTCACTCAGTGTCCCCGTGGAAGCAGCAGGAATCCCGCAATCACCACTCACTTGTCCAGTTCTTCTTTCTGGCATTTCCCTATTTCTAAATACACACGCAGAATGCTGGCTCTTGATTTAACATTCCAGACGTCTTGTATCGATTTTTTATTGTGGTAGACGAGGCATGTGTGCTCCCTATTCTTCCGTTCTCCCAACAGACTTACTTCATGATCGCAAACGTTCAGCCACATCTACTTTACGCCATGTAGAGACTAGGTTCTTCACTGCAGACTCACGTGGTTGAGAGGAAACTTTCAAAGTCAAGTGTATTTGGAGCCATGAGTCAGATTCCCTTAGACGTTTCTAGCAGCCCCGAAGAAGAGTCTAGATTTTTCCAGAATAGTCTGTCTCACATACAGCAAGCTCTCCCCATTCTTAGACTATAGTTCTTCCCGCTTGAGAGTGACCCCGAGGGACCTCTCTATGGACGGTGATGCTGTGACACAGGAGGCAAGCACGGCAGCTCAGCAAGGAGCTTCTCCACTGACCGCCTGGCGCCCACGTCACCGTCCCGTGACCCGGCCAGGCTTTCCTCCTGCCAGGTCTTGTGAAGCAACACTTGGAAAAATGGCCTGAAACAGAATTCCAGCTGTTGGGTCGGCTGATGGGAGGCAAGTCAAATGAAAAGAACTGAGGAATGTCTGGGGTCTTTGCCAGAAAAGAGAAATTCAGGAATAAATTAGAGTGGCCTGTTGAGTTCAACAGTGGCCGGGACATCTGCTATGAACAGGCGCCCCCCCCCCCATAAACTATGAAGAAACGTCAAAAGGTGCTTTTTAAATGTATTTCGTTAGGAAGATTACTGCTATTTGGATTTTTGAGCAAGAGGATTAGAAAGGGTTGTGGGATGGACTCCCTCCTTATGTCCCAACTTACTGTTCCCACGGATACACTCACCCTTGTCCTTTACAGGTCTGGCTTTGGCTTGGAAAAGTCATGGGGACGGTCACCCAAAGCAAGGGGGTACCTGAGGTAACCCTGCCCCCCGAGCCCCCACGCTGCCAGGACAAGGGAGCACCCTTCCTGATGGTCCTGAGGCAAGACCAGGTTCCTGCAGCGTGGGGAGAAGCATGGCTGCCCCGAGGGGCAGGAAGCTTTGTCCTGAGTCAGTGGCCTTTTACCGTCTTCCGCATTCCAGCTTACAGCTGTTCCTACGGCCTTGGTGTGGGGGTGTTTTCCCAGCACAACACTCATGAGAAGTGCTTTTCTCCGTCTTCCTTCTTTATCCCTTCATTCCCCTGTGCCCCCACCCCTCCACCCCCCTATCTCCCTACCCCATCCCTCTACCCTTCATCCCCATCCCCCACCCCCTCCCCCTCCCCCATCCCCCACCCCTTCATCCCCATCCCCCACCCCATCCCC